GATTTAAATTGTAAGTTATACTTAAATAATTTTATTTTTAATTAAAATGAATTGCTAATTATTTTATACAGTTTTTTAAAAACAATCTATAACCATTAAATACAGTGGAAAATATATTTTAAGTTACAAGTAATTTAGAAAACTTTTCTTAAACTAAAACCTTTAGCCGCATCGAGATACATTTAAAACAAATTCTAAACAAACCATAGAGTATTCAAAATTGTACCTTTCAAGTTTCAAGTATGTGGTTGGTTTTGACGAAGCACCTACAAATCAAATCAGATTTCCTCTATGGTAGTCCACACACGAACATGCTTCTGGCGTCTACCAGGTGCTAGCCTAAAAACCCTGGATCAAATATGTGTTTCTTAACATAATTTCATTATGTTTTTTACTGATAGCTGAAATTTAAGTTTCAATCCAACGATCTTTAGCTTATTACCTTATTTATATGCACTACAAGTTATAGATTGACCATAACTCCAATAAGGTTTTAATAAAATTATATACATTTACAAATAATAAAATGGAATTATCATAATTACGTTTTAAGACGTATTTTTATAATTATCCTACAAGAATAATTGTTTTTCTAATCAACAAGACTTAATTCGCATTTCTGATAATAGAGGCAAACGTGTTCTTTGTGTGTAAACTTATAGTTTTACACTAAAAATGAGAGGTCTACTGGACATAGAAAAAACCACCTACTAAATAAATATTATAACTCTGAAGGATATTTTATAATTTTTTTTAAAATGGAGATTTATGGTCCGTTTAGTTTGCAAGAACGGAGTGGGTTTGAAGGGATTTGGATTTCGAATCAATTCTAATCTCGTGTTTGGTTTGCAGGATTATCCGTATTTAAAATCCTGGGATTCGTTTGAAATTCCTCACTGATAGATTTGGAAATTCTCATGACTCAGGAGAAGGTTGGTATTTCAAATCTCAACCAAGACGGATTTTCATAAAAAATGCATCGCTTCTTTAACGCATTTATACATGGAGATCTCTAGCACTACTAAAAACATGACTTTTTCGGCGGAATTTTATGGTAGATGTTTCGCCGGTAAATTACCGGTGGATCACTGGCGGACCTGGAAAAAATCAACTTTCGTTGACTTTCGTCACAAATCAGCCACTGATTATATAAAAGAAAATAAAAAAATAATTGGCAAATAGGGAAATGTATTATTTATAAAAAGTAATTAGTTTTAATTAACTAAAATTGTCGAAAAAAACTTAATTAATTATTTTTTAATTAAAATTCATCAGTAATCCATCGGTAATTTTAATCAATCAAAATTAATTAATTATTTTTTTAATTTAAAAAACATGATTTTGGTGTTACTGACGGATGAGAGTACAGTGTCTGCCGGCATCAATATCAAAATATGTTTCGTTTTATATTTTTAATAATTAAACATTTTTTGGTATTGTTGGCGAATTGCCAAAGGTAATATATCATAAATACGTTTTCTTATTCCTTTTTAATGAACATTATTCCGACGAATTACCGATGGACACCCCATCCATTAGGAACTATATTTCTGTAATTTCATTTTCTTTGCATCCCCATACATCGGTAATTAAATATATTTTTTGGAAAAATCGATAATAAAAAGTGATTTACTAATAAAAACAAATTATATATAAATAAATACTTACAAAAAAAAGGGAAAATTGCATCAAAATTGAACTAACTTTCACCTAATTCCTATTTTGGGGAACCAACTTGCACCTAATTCCTATTTTGGGTAACCAACTTTCAAAATAATTATAGAAAAATAACTAAATTTCTTTTCTTTTTCCAAAAATTAATGCAATAAAATCTATTTTTCATTTCAAATCTCGTTTTTTTTTAATTTAGATATCAAATTAAACATTTAAAAAAAATCTAAATTACCACAATAAAATTTATTTTTTAATAATGCAAAAAAAATCAATTTAA